CACCCTTATGAGGAAAGACTTCCTTCAGTGGGGCTTTGGTGCTCACCGAGTCTGCCCCCTGAGTGTGTCCCTTATGGATCTGAGGAGTTGTAATCTGGATGGTCCCACTCTGACCACTGGGTACACTTGCTCTTGGATCTAAGGAGGTGCTAATTTAGCCTCTGCCTGAGGGTACCCAGGAAGGTCTATTCTTGCACGAATCTTCGTGCATCTGGCTGCTAGTTATCTATAAAACTTACAGTACTGATATGTGTAGGAAGCACAAAACTTCCTAAAGGTATGAAAATTGTAGCTTTAGAAGTGACTTATACAGAGGGAAGGGTGTGGGAGGTTGGATGGAAAAGAGGAAGGGCATAAAAAATACAAATTTTCAGTTATAAAACAAGCCAAGGGATGTAATGTATAGCTTAGGGAATAGAGTCAAGAATATCACAATAACTAGGTATGGTGACTGATGGTTATTAGACTTTGTGGTTATCATTTTGTAAGGTGTATCAATACTGAATCACAATCTTGTATACCTGAAATTAATATAATATTATATGTCAATCGTAAGTAAAAACAAAATTTAAAAAAATGTGATTTATATCAGTGAAATAAACCCTGTAACTGAAACAGACAAGGAAATTGTGAAGAGTCATGCTGTGACTCACTGACAAAGTTATTAGATAAAAAGCGAACTTTGATTGAATAAACTAGATCTTTGTTAGGCTGGGAATTTTTAGTAATACTGTATGGGTGACACAGCTATAATCACACAATAATAAATATCAGTATAAAAATAATTCTATGTAAGAGAATTATATCAAGGTCCCAGTGAATGATACTAAGACCATTCACTTCTTGTTCACAGAGAAGACAAAAAACAATGCAGCCACATGGATGTGTACTGTAGGATGCTACAGTACACATCCATGTGTGGATTTAAAAATTAATGACATCTTCATAATTTCATTTCAAAGAAACAAAGTTTTATTGATTTTAATTCAACAAATTTTACATAACAAATTGCTATATACAACTGGTGCTTTCTCTGTTTCTCCCAAAGTTAAATTGATTCTCCAAGGACAACTGAACTCTTACATACATGCCAGTGTATGGTGAACTTAATAGAAATATGAAAGGCAAGAACAGTAACAGCTGAAAATAACAGGGAAGGCTTAGTGGGTAAGTCAGAACTTGAGCTCTCTGTTATAAATACTAGAGGCCCTGCGCACGAGATTAGTGCGCAGGTATGATCCCTAAGCCTGGCCTGCCATCAGGGCCATCTTTCCTGGCTGCCCGCAGCCAGCCCCGCCCTTTGACACCACCCACCCCTGGTTCCTCGTTTGACATTGGGTGATCGGTGCCTCACAGCCAGGGGAAGGGACCGAGAGGTTTGGCTGTTCCCACCCGCTCGCTGGCCCCACCCCCACCGTGGGTCACCCTGTGTGTGGGGGGCGACCAGCGGGGCAGAGGCCTTGGCCTGGCACCACCTGCGTCCCCCACCACCCAACCCCAGTTCCCCGTTCGCCATCAGGTGATCGGAGCCTGCTGGCCGGGGAAAGAGACCAAGTGGTGGTCAGTGTGCCTCATAGTGACTGGTCCAGTGGTCGTTCTGGTCGTTCCCATTTTATTATATAGGATAGAGGCCTGCTGCACGGGTGGGGGCTGGCTGGCCTGCCCTGATGGGGGCTCTGGATTGGGGTGGGGGTCCCCGCTAGGGGGTGAGGCTGGCTGGGGCAAGCGGCCGGTAGTTCTGGTTTCTGGTCATTCCTCCATTTTGGTTTCCGGGCTTTTATTATATAGGATGTTGGACACATTTGTCCTTATACTAACCAAGTTTACTGCGATCAGTTTCATCTTTTATACCTCAAAATCTCTACTTTCACATGACCATTATTTCTCTTCTTAAGTTAATTGAAAAAAAGTCATATTCACATTAGGTCATGATTTGTGTCAGGCTTGGAAATCTAAAGGTAATTAAGACATAGTTCTTGCTCTCACAAATACTAAGAACTAACTGGTGCCCATTATGAATAAGGACAATGGAAACATGAAAAAGAGATTTTGTCTGAAGAGCTGAGAAACTTGGGAAGGCTTTAAATACTTGAGTAGGATATTGAAAGTAGGTATGATTTCTCATCACAACATTCTCTTGCTCAGTAATCTATGGAAAGATACATCTTCCACCAATACACCTCACCACCGGCTCAATGATCATATTGAGCCCAGATTTTATCATTACCTATAACCACACCCCATCTTAAATTTCCATTACAGGGATCCTATTCTCTGACTTCTACTGGCTCACGTTCCAGCTCACGCTCTCTGGTACCCCAATTTCAACAATTCCCCAACTCCAGTAGGATCTCTATCCATTGACCCTACCCATTTTTACTGTCCATCACTCTCTCTGTGTCCTTACTTTCCCCCTTACCTAGCTTAGACTCCACAGTCCATCATTATAAATACTCCTTTGCATCTACTTTCAATTCCTTGTCTCTTTCTCTCCTTCCCTCTGTTACATTACCTGGAAAATTCCAACCCTGATTAAGTCCAACTCTCTGCTAGCAAAGCACTGATAGTATAGAACTCTGAAGTATAGAACTATGAGAATTCCCAAATAATTTCTGGCACCAAGTTCTGAAAGGGACATTTATAAATCAGTTGAATGGACTTCTGAAACACCAGATTTCATACAGCATCACAGCTCCATCCCTGTAGACAGTTGCTGGCTAGTCACTAATTACTCACTGGCATATCCTTCTTTCCCACCATACTATATAGAGCTCTTTAAGGTAGAGACCACATAATATACTTCATGTTGATTACATTGCCTGGTATGAAGTAGATGCTCAAAAAATGTTGGTTAAATCTTGAATAAATGCATGAGTAGGGGAAAGATGCTCTTGTACTATGATACAGAGAAAAACAAGGCTTTAAGTTGTTAGGATGAGTATTATAGAAATTATTACAAAGCTAAAAAAAGATGAATAAAAATGTTCACGGTCAAAACTGATGAAGCCACTTGGAATTTATAGTTAATATATTATTTCTTTTAGAAACATATTTTGCTATGTGGAGTCCCTAAGATTCATACATATAAATGTATAAAAGGGGCTATAATGAAAGCCTTGTTAACCAGTTTATTGGGGAGAACTGACAATTAGCAACAATTCAGTTAACTGGCCTTGTGCCAGATTAGTCTCCCTGTAACAATAACTTTGCTCTTCTTTCTGTGATCCAGTTTCATACTGGATTTAGTGTGTGACCTAAAGCCATAATTACAGATGTACTCTTAAAGAATGACATTTAAGAAAAATTACCAAGAGTAAAAGAGAAAGCAAAAGAACTGGTAAATGGGAGATCAACAGTGTAATTACATGCCGTGGCACATTTTAACATAGATTTCTAAAATTAAAAGATATTCCTTAAAAAACATATGTTTTCTTAATTGCAGCAGTATGGCCTTCAGTGTATGAGGTAATAGTCAAAAAAGTTTTACCACTGCCCTAGCTGGTTTGGCTCAGTGGATAGAGCATCAGCCTGTAGATGGAAGAGTCCCAGGTCCGATTGTGGTTAAGGGGACATGCCCAGGTTGCGGGTTTGATCCCCAGTGGCGGGGGGGAAGGGGGTTGCAGGAGGCAGCCAATCAATGATTCTCTCATCATTGATGTATCTCTCTCTCTATCTCCCTCTCCCTTCCTCTCTAAAATCAATAAAAAAATATTTTTAAAAAAGTTTCAGCACCTTTTCCATATATAGAAGTACAGCATCATCATAGGTCAGCACCATCATAGGCCTCCAAACAACAAGTAGATATAATTTGAATAGTAGACGAATTCTTAGTGGTTGACCTTTTTTGCCTTTTAGAGATAATACATTTTCTTCCAAGCTGTTGAAGGGTCAGACTATTAGCTATTGACACTGAGAGTCAAATCAGCTTCAGAACATGAAAACACTGCTCATTTCTCAGGACAGACAGACTTCCAAAAGACTAAGGCAGAGGGACAATCTGATTTTCAATTATGATTTAATTTGAAGCAACTTTAGGTCAATCTTTTCCAGTGCCAAAAATAAAAACAGGAGCAACTCTGCACATCATAATAACACTAATAATTTTATACAGGACTGTTACACAGTTTCTAAATACAAAAAATTTAGACAACCCATTTAAACTAAGCACCATCCATTATAAGCCACAGAGTTCAAACAGATTAATAAAGAAAAAACAGGATTTAGGCACTGAACTCATTTTTAAGGCTTGCCTTTGCACAGAGTGAAGTGAGATTGTGCAATGATCTTTAGGTGAGCTAAATTTTAAGGAGGGGAGGGGGAGACTGTGACAGCAGGTAGAAGTTACAGTGGTAACAAGTGACAGCAATAAGACAATCAGGAAACATTGCTTAGATTATCTTATACTTTGTACAAACGGGCATCAAGTCCTGATTAATCCTCTAAAAATTCTCTTCAACCTCTCCACTTTATTATCACAACTGTCCTAGCTCAGGCCTTACTGATCTCACAGACTCTACTGCAAAAGCCTCAACTCTAATCCCCTCTTGTTACTGTTACCAGGGAATTTTTCCTGAAATAAAAATCTGGTTATGAGTATCCCTCTTTTGATGGCTTCCCCACTCCCTACAGAAAATACAGTGGAAAAAAAGGAGACATATGTAACACTCTTTGTAATACTTTAAGCAATAAAACAATTAAAAAAGAAAATACAGTGGAACTTCGTTTCTCAAACGACGCCATTTCGAACAATTTGCTTCTGAACCTGACAACCCTTTCATGCTGATATCTGTATGATTAGTCACACATTTCAGGTGACTAACAAAGGAAAGAATGTGTGAATATGAGTCAGGTTACCACTGTTAAAATCTCAGGATATTGTGTTGTAAATATTTTTGTATTTTTGCTTTTGTTGCTACTTATAATTATTGTTAAGTTTTATTTTTTACTGTACATTTCTTTTCCTTTATGTTATATTTTCATTGACATTTCATGTCTTTTTTGTTTTTAAAGTATTTATATAGATTAAACAGTACAATAAACATATACTGTATATAAGAAGGGTTAAAATGGAATCAGGGACTACATCAAAATAAAAAGTTTCTGCACAGCAAAAGAAACCATCAACAAAACAAAAAGAAAGCCCACTGTATGGGAGAACATATTTGGCAATTATATATCTGATAAAGGGTTAATATCCAAAATATATAAGGAACTCGTACAATTTAACAAAAGGAAGACAAACAACCCAATTAAAAAATGGGCAAAGGACCTGCTGGCATGGCTCAGTGGTTGAGTATGGACCTATGAACCAGGAGGTCATGGTTTGATTCCCTGCCAAGGCACATGCCTGGGTTACATGCTTGATCCCCAAGGGGAGGCGTGCAGGAGGCAGCTGATCAATGATTCTCTCTCATCATTGATGTTTCTATCTCTCTCTTCCTCTCCCTTCCTCTCTGAAATCAATAAAATATATCAATGGGAGTAAAGAGGGACATGTGTAATATTTTCAACAATAAAAATTTTTTTTAAAACACATAAAAAAAACAGGGAATCATTTGGAGGCTCTGGATTGGATTAATTCAATTTACTTCTAATGGGAAAAAATGATTCGGTATTTGAACAGCCTTCTGGAACAAATTCAAGAAACGAGGTTCCACTGTAATTCAAATTCCATAACCAGGTATGCAAAACTGTTCACAAATTGGCCTCGATCTGCTTTTATAGCTTCATCTCCTACAAGTCTCCTACTCTCACTTTCATATTTTGTCTTCAATCACATTTGTGCCCTTTGCCTAAAATGTCCTTTCTCTGCATGCCCACCTATATAATCCCAAGTTATCTTCCAGGAACATCCCTGATAAGCTCAACCCCTCGAACTCAAATCCCCTTCACAGTGTTCTTGTATTGCTCTGAAGAGACCTCCATTTGTCTACTTAAATGCATCACTGGCTCATACATCTGTATTCTGGTAGAGGGTGAGCCACAGGTTAACTGGGAGCTTTGTCTTACTCCTCTTTTCAGTTTGGTACATAATAGGTCTAAATGTATGTTTAGCAACAAATTAATCAAAGAAGGAACAAATAAACGTAAATGCAAACATGCTGTCTTGATTCTGAGCTCCCTTTTAGAGATGAGGCTCGCTTCCAGCTTTATCTCCTCCGACAAGCCTCTCAAATACTTTAGATCACAGTGCAGAGGCACACTGAAGAGGGAGCATCTTTTCTGGTTGATGGGACACAGTTCAGCATTTAAATGCTCTTTATTGGATTTGTGTGAATCCTGCCCGCCCAAAGACGTGACACACAGGAAACTAAATCAAACACTAGTTCTTACAGTTTTCTTGCACTCACTACATACTTAGGTACATACCCCCCACAACACTTGGACCAATATTTATTCAGAGAAGATTCTGATAAATATTTTAGAGCAGGGCTTGGCAAACTTTTCCTGTAAAAGGAGAGATAACAACTTAGGCTTGGTGGGTCACAAGGTCTGTGTTGCAACTACTAAACTCTGCTGCTGTAGTACAAAAGCAGCCACATACAATATATAACACATGAGCATGGCAGTGTTCCAATAAAACTTTATTTAAGGTCAATAAAATCTGAATATATAATTTTCAGGTGTCATGAAATGAGTGTTGTTTTGATCTTTTTTTCAATCATTTAAAAACAATACAGACATCTTTAGTTAGTAGGCAATACAAAAACAAGAAGCAGGCCAGAGGTGGCCCACGGGTGATAGTTTTCCAATCCTGCTTTAGATACACACATCGATCTATATTGTAAGACAATTCTGCCATCAAATTCCCAAGTAAAATATTAACACACATATGACAATACCTGCGTTCAGCACGCTCTTTCTTCTTTAAGGCAACATCCAAATCCTGCAATTGTTCCTCTAATTTCTCACACAGTAGTTTCTGAAACAGCCAAGCAGATGAACATAATTTTAACACCTTTCCACAATCATTTGTCACTTGCATGTTAACTTGTGGATAGTTATGCTATGAGAGCTGATAAGGGGCCACATATGGGTGAACACTGATATGTCCTCATGTTTGATTAAATAAAGTGGTGCCCTCAACATTCATTGAACTGAAGATGAGCACAGTATCGTTCATATAAAGCACATATTAGAGAAACTTAGAACTTTGCCAGAAAACACATTCATGCCTTCCTTGTGGGCAGAAATCAATGTTTAAAATAGCATTTGGTTCAACGTGTATACATAATAGTGATTTAAAAATTTTTTTAAATCTCAAAACATTTTTAAGGGAGAGAGTTATATGCACAATGAAATATAATGGTGCCAATAATCTCTAGTTTTAAAAAAGAGAAAGAAAAACTCTACAAAACCATGCCACATGATTACTGGGACAGAACAGAACTGAAGATTTTTAACTGATAAAGCTATGTGAAGCCAGAGAAGTCCACTTCACTGAAAAATGCAATATAGCCCATTATTTTTAAACCAAAATGAGACTGGGCTTGTGAGAGAAAGGACCCCTTGGGCACAGTGCACAAAAATATCCTGTTCTTCAACTTAAAGAAATAATTCACCTGATTCAAAATAAGAGATAAACAGAATCCATATTTCTATTCATAGACCATCATAATGGTATATAATTCATGAAATCATCTACAAAACTACTGACAAAGGGAGGCAGAAAGAAATGAAAAGGAGGATGACACAAAGGGATACATAATATGAAGAAACTATTTCTTAGCTTGTATATTATCTTAATTTGGGGCTCTTTGTGCCTTTAACAAATGTGAAGTGAAGGGGGAGGAGAGACTATAATTTTACAAAAATTACAGATCTTGAGAATTACTTTTAAAAAAATTAAGGGAAGACCTAAGAGATAATAGTAAAGGGTAGCCTTTTCAATAGTTTCTAATTTCACAGAAATTTAAACAAAAGGTAAACTGTTTTGAAGATATAAAATGTTTAGCAACTGTCAAGAAGTATTACTAATTTGACTATAAAACCAAAGACTGGAAAAAGAGATGTGTGCTGGATCATACATGTTGGCAAGGGGGGCAGAACCATTCTCCATCAGGGATGATCATCAGAGGAGGGCGAAGGCAGGCAGTATGGTAGCCACTGTCACAAGAGTCGCACAGAAGAATCTGAAATAAACCAGATATTAACACCAACCTAACTCCATGACTAAAATTCAGTGACGAGTTAAAATAAAGATATTTCTTAGCACTATAATAAGAAATATACTATACTCTTTATTTGCATAATTAAAAAGCTCTGATAATTAGGGATCTAGCATGCCATTAAAAATAATAAATTAAAAAATAATAAAAAATTAAGAAAATGGTAAACTATAAAATTAAGTGAAAAGTAGCAAGTTCTTTCTGAACTAGAGTTACAATTCTTTTCCAATGTGCCATGAGGGCTGCAACAATAAATTTTTTATAAAAGAGTTTATATAAAGCACAAGCATCACAAACTATCCTACCATACATAGGAATTTAAAAATCTACTTTAAATAGCATTTCAATTAGCAATCTGTAAGAATCATTCATGGTTCACTTTATCATATAAATTTAAATGTAGAAGGAACTGTAGGAAGAGGGGAAAGGAACTATTCTTAGGATCATCATATTCAAATACAAAGTCTTAAACTGATGTTTTTTTGTTATTTAAGATGACCAAGTCTCTAAAATTTAAAATGGTACATTTATGAACATTTGACTTAAAAAAACTTTTCATTTTAAATTTTTTTTTAGATTTACTGAAGAGTTACAAAGATAGTAGAGTTCCCATAAACTCTTTACTCAGCTCCCACTACTGTTAACATCTTACATAATCACGGTACATTTACCAAAACTAAGAAATCAACATTAGTACAATATTATTAACTCAACAACAGACTTTATACTTCGAAGAATACTAGTCAGATATTATGTAGACTCCCCTCAACCTGGGTTTGTCTGATACCTTCTCTTGATTAGACTGAAGTTATGGATTTTGGAGAAAAATCCCACAAAGATGAAGTGCCCTGCTCACTGTGTCATATCTGGGGATACATGATATCAATCTGACTAATTACTGGTGATAATTAACCTTGATCACTTGGTTCCAGTAGTTGGTTTTCATTACTTTAAAGTTACTAATTTTCACTTTCCATACTTTAGTCCAATTAGAAGTGATAAACCCAGCCCATACTCAAGGGGAGGGGAATTAAGCTCCATTATCTAGAGCAGTGGTTCTCAACCTTCCGGCCCTTTAAATACAGTTCCTCATGTTGTGACCCAACCATAAAATTATTTTCATTGCTACTTCATAACTGTAATGTTGCTACTGTTATGAATCATAATGTAAATATTTGATATGCAGGATGGTCTTAGGCAACCCCTGTGAAAGGGTCGTTCGACCGCCAAAGCGATCGTGACCCACAGGTTGAGAACCACTGATCTAGAGGAAGGCGTTATCAAAGAATTTGTCGATAGAAGATAAAACTTACACAGCAATGAATAATATGTTGAAGCTACGCAAATATCCTGTTTTTCCTTCAGGTTTCACCCACAAGTTTTAGTACTTGCTTACAATAGTTACTACTGTGGTGTTCTAATGGTGATTCTCTATATTTCTCATGCCTTCTACATTTGTTATTTGGAATTCTTCTGTAAAGAAATTATGCCCCTTATCCCACATTTACTCGCTTATTCAATTATGTATTTATATCAAGGTGAACTAATGAATATTTATTTTATTCTTTGGGTTATAATATAGAATTACTACTTGTCAAATTCAAATTGTTCTAGCTATGGACACACTGGGAGCTCCAGGTTGGCTGTGTCATTTACATCTTTTTTTTAAAATATATTTTTATTGATTTCAAAGAGGAAGGGAGAGGGGGAGGGAGAGAGAGAGAGAGAGAGAGAGAGAGATAGAAACATCAATGATGAGAGAGAATCATTGACTGGCTGCTTCCTGAATGCCCCCTACTGGGGATCAAGTCCACAACCCAGGCATGTGCACTTGACCAGAACTGAACCCACAGGCCGACGCTCTGTCCACTGAGCCAAATCAGCTAGGGCAGCATCTTTTTTTTTTGAAGCATTTCCTTACTTCCCAGCACTATAGGATACTCCACACATTTATCTATTTATATAAAAGGCTAATATGCTAAGTGTCTGACCATCCGACTGGTCGCTATGACGCGCACTGACCACCAGGAGCTGCCAACATAGGAGCTACCGAGCTGCAGTGACTTGGCAGCGGCAGTTCTCAGGTGACACACCCCAAAACCAGAGAGGAGGGAACCCAATTCTTCGCGGGGTTGTGCAATCCCACCTTTGGCCATGGGTTATGTTGTTGCTGGGGCACTGTTACACTGAATCTCGTTTACTGCACACTTGCATTTGTGTTCCACACCCTGTATGACAGCAACTTTGCAGACTGCCCTCTTGCATTTGGGGACCCCTCAGGGGATGTCGGAGGCTGGTTTTGTCCCGATCCCCGCAGGCCAAACGAAGGGACCCCACCTGCTGGAGCGACCCTGCTAATTCCGCAGATGCCTTTTGAGCCATGGCATCACCCCAGGTGCGGCCGGCTGGGGAGGAACCGTGGGAGGTTAGCTCCAGGGCATGTCTTGCCCAGTCCCACCCCGTATGCCACCTTCTAATTAATTTCCTTTCAATGTGCATGAATCCATGCACTGGGTCACTAGTATCATATTTTCTCTACCCGAGCCTAAGAATTAGCCATTTCTCCCCAAAACCCCGATTCCTTTAATGGAAAATGGTATTTAGAAACCAAAATTTAAATACTGAGTGCTCACTGCTAATGGTTATCACTGCTTCTAAATTGTCTCAGAGAACAGAGCTAGGAAATACATATATTTATAGCAATCCATATGCACATGTCTATACTGAAATAAGTATAAGTTTATACTAATATCTCCAGCTCTATCCAGCACCATAGAGTTTATTCTAGCCTTCAGCCTTGCTTATCTGTAACTACTTTCGCTGACAATGAGAAAACTTGCTCCTATTATCTACACTTCATTCACTTGTTTAAACCCCGTATATATGTAAAGTAATTTCTGAATTGCTAACATATACTATGGTGGGTGAAGGGAGGAGAGTGGAATGTGTACACATGTGCAGTGATTTAAAAGTGAAAAAGTATCCTCCCCCTTCTTCAGTGTATCACCATTTGCTGCCAATACCAGAATTCAATACTTCAGTTACATGACTAACAGATTTTTTGATTACATAGGCATATGTAGACAAACCTGGGCACCTGATTCCATTTATCAAATTGTTTCTACATTAAAGCATAATCTAAATTTCAAATAACAAAATTAAATTTTTAGAAATCAATTTATCTCTAAAACAATAATTATCTCTATTCCTCAATGAAGGTAAAATCCCATTAAAATAAATATTACTATGCAAGATTTCCAAGCCTGAAGCAATCCATGTATTTTTACTACAGCATCTGGATTCTACACTAATTTATAAATTTACTGCTTTTCTGCAGTAAGCTCAATGAGGACAAGGACCATGTCTTTCTAATTCAGACTCATTTCCCTACCACTTAACACTTAATAATTGCTTGGCAGTTTAAGATTATCCTTAAACAAACGGCATAAGAAATCTGCCATTTAGGATCTCCAGTTTACAATTGATATTCCCTTTTGGCACAGTAACCAGCAACGGGATTTTTAGAGCAGTTGTTAAGATAACTGACTAAATAAAAATCCTGTGTGTGCCAAGAAAGGTGCAACTTCATCTTCTCGATGTCATTTCTGCTCACCTCATTTCCTCACTTCTCATTTCCTCACACCCTTTTGTCATCAACATCTATGGCTGCCTCAGTTAAAATGCACTCTTAGTTTAAAAAGATATTAGGCCCTACCTAGTTTGGCTCAGTGGATAGAGCATCGGCCTGTGGACTGAAGGGTCCTGGGTTCCATTATGGTCAAGGGCACATGCCAGGGTTGCGAGCTCAATCCCCAGTAGGGGGCATGCAGGAGGCAGCTGATCAATGATTCTCTCTCATCATTGATGTTTTTACCTCTCTCTTCCTCTTCCTTCCTCTCTGGAAGAAAAAAAAAAAAGATATTAGGAGCCCTGGCTGGTTTGGCTCAGTGGTTAGCATGTAGGCTCACAGAACAAAGGGTCATGGGGTTCGATTCCCAGTCAAGGGCATGTACCTGGGTTGCAGGCTCAATCCCTGGCCTGGTCGAGGTATGTGTGGAGGCAACCAATGTGTCTCTCTCACATCAATGTTTCTCTTTCTCCCTCCCTCTCTCTCTCTCTCTCTCCTCTCTTCCCTTCCACTCTAACAGCAATGGAAAAATATCCTTAGGTGAGGATTAAAAAAAAAAGGATATTAGGAAACAACAGAAAAAGAGTACAAGTGTTGATTTTCACTTGATTTAAAGGGCAGAAAAGACTACTATCTCATATCTTCTTTTGGCTTTCCTCCACACAAAAATCTTGACCTAACTTTCACAGCCTGATGATCATAAAAATGCTTAGAAGGGTCTTATCAGAGTAATTTCAGCATCTACTCTCCTCTTATATCTTTTACTTGAACTCTCTGAAACTACTAGGATTGATAAACTTCACTGATTAAGTTCCCATATATGAGTTCAACATTAAGAAAAAAAAACAAATCACAAAAAACTTTAACTCAACACATAATAGATGTGCTGGCCAACTTTACGTAACATTAAAAGCAACCCTCAGAAGAAGTATGTGGTATTATTCCTATTTATATAATGAAGATATCAAGATACAGAGAAGAGAGCACCTGATAAGTGGTGGAAGCAGGATCTGCTGCCAAGTCTGTCTGGTCCATGCTTTTCCCATCACACCACACTGCTTTCTAGGAAAAAAGAGCCTTGGAGAACCACTTCATATGAATTTTCCAAACTTTAGAGGATCTCAAAACGTTTCTGATCCACACAATTCTACCTATGTGGAATCCTCTTTCTTTACATTTCCTTCTATTTAATAGTTGGAGCCTGCCTTTAAAGTCAAATGTACTCAAAAGAACAGAATAGTTGCATAGAATTGGGCATATCAAGAGTGTTTCTTCAATAGGCTCTTTAGAAAGCACTATGAATTGCAGAAATCCTATGTAATAAAAGGCTAATATGCAAATTGACTGAACAGTGGAATGACCGGTCACTTTGACACATACTGACCACCAGGGTGCAAACACTTAATGCAGGAGCTGCCCTCTGGTGGTCAGTGTGCTCCCACAAGGGGGAGTGCCGCTCAGCCAGAAGCAGTGGCGAGCACAGTGGCAATGGCAGGAGCCTCTCCCGCCTCCACGGCAGCACTAAGGATATCCTACTAACAGCTTAGGCCCAGCACTCAGACATCCCCCGAGGGCTCGCGGACTGCGAGAGGGCGCAGGCTAGGCTGAGGGACGACCCCCACTGCCCCCCGAGGGCACGAATATGTATATAGGTCGGAACTGGTTTTCGTGATTTAGGTTACTTACTTTCCGGGTAAGAAAGTGCCATGTAAATTGGTCACTATCCTTCTGAAATTATATCTGAATATATTTGTGCTCTTAAATGTTTTTTAGAATTGCCCATTTCCTAAAGAAATAAGTCCTACCAGGTTAACTACTTGAGTTATACGTTGTTACAGCAAGGCAATAAGATCTCAGGCCTTATTTACAGCTGGCACTTCAGAACAGAACAGAAATATTTGAATAATTTCATAGATTTGTGAGAGAAATTAGGAGTGTATTCTTATTAAGAGGAAATAACAACAGCTAGCTAGGCAGAATAAAAGCAGGATCCTGACCTTCCCAGAACTGGGTTATTTAAGAAATAGAAATAAAGGTTATTTTGTACACACAAGCTCTGCAGCATTAAAAAATTTAAATCATGATCAAGCCTAGAAGAGTTAGGCTTTGGAAAACCATAGCATGCCAGTGAGGTGAATATTACGCACTAGCTCAGGATGGTTTGGAAGGCCACATTTTTTGCAGGGTTCATCATCCTCCGCTAGGACGGCTTCTTCACTCTCCTTTGCTCCCTCCTCTTCTGAAGCTGCAGATGATTTCTCACTGTCAGACCCTTCACTTTCATCGTTGCTGGAATATTTCCACCTGCCACGTGTTCGAGAACCAGTCCATCGAACTTTGCCTTTGGTTTTTACCTTGTATAAAATAAAAAATTGATATAATTTGTATAAGAATGTAAAAAGAAAAACTATTACATGTTCCTTGCAGAATATTTAGTCAGTACATAAAGAAAAGGAAAATTATTGTAGCATCTTTACAGATATACCTACTATTTAATTTTGGTATACATTCCCACTATGTTTTCTATTTTGGAGGGTATTATGATAAACACTGTCTTATAAATATTTTCCCTAGTCATGAAATATTCTCCGAACATCACTGTAAATGACTATATAATATGCCATCGTGTAGTTGTATTTCTCTAGTCCTCTACTAGACAGACATTTAGGTAGTTTCCCATTTTTTCAACTGTATCCTTGTAAATATAAACTTTTACACATAGCTCTGTAGTTAGGATAAATTCCTCGAAGAGAATTCTGGGTCAAAGGCCATGCACATTTTAAAGGCTCTATAATAGAGCACTATATTCTCATATTTTATTATACAAAGTTTTAAATTTCCACATCAGAGATTAATATAACAAATTTTAATGGTTCAGAAATGCACATAAAAATTCTGACAAACTTAAAAATTATATTATTCAGAGTAAGTTTATAATGTTGTAAATTGCTTTTTACTTACTGGTAGCACAATTTTTATATATTTTTATTCATTTCAGAGAGGAAGGGAGAGGGAGAGATAGAAACATCAATGATGAGAATCATTGATTGGCTGCCTCTTGCATGCCCCCTACTGGGGATCGAGCCTGCACCCAGGGCATGTGCCCTTGACCGGAATTAAACCCGGGACCGAACCTTCAGTCTGGAGGCCACACTCTATTCACTGTGCCAAACAGGCTAGGCCACAATTTTTAAATTTATATTTAAATTAATTTCTACAGTATAAGTCCTTATCAAAGACCAACATAATTCTAGCAGAGGGGGAAATTTTTTCAAAGTAAAGAATTAAAAATTCAGTATTCCAGGCAATAGAGGATCACTTACAAAGATGAACAATCTGATCACTAAATAAATTAAAAATGTAAGTAGCACTTTTAATTATAACAAACTTCCATAGACTAGCCAAAGACTGGTACTAAATTTTGCTTAAATAAGAGAGACATCAGAAAAAAATTCTGGCTTCTTAGACTAATATTTTATATTGGGAAATATAGGCACTTTCATACCCGTAATGAGAGGGTACATAACGGGGTCATTTTTAGAAATGTGTCAATAACTGTTAAAAAATAAAATATACATGCCCCTTGACCCAGCAAATCCAATTCTAGGAGTCTATTCTAAAGAAATACTCACTCATGTCCAAAATGATCTTCAAAGCAGCATTGCCTGCAATAGTGAAAAATTGGAAACAACCTAAATGTCAATCAATAAGGGAGGAGTCAAAGAAACTGAGTTATATCTACACTATGGAATACTATGTGGCCATTAATAACCAAAACGTAGACTATATCTTACTGATGTGGAAAGAGTTCAAATATACACTGTTAAGTGAAAAACTCAGATAAAAATGAACATATTTGATTCAATTTATTTTTTAAGTGAATAGATATTTATGAACATACACAGTAATGTATGGAAAAAGAATTAAAAACTAACTGCTACTAATGTTTATAGGACATTTTCATTTTTCAATCCTATAGGTTGGGTATTATTTGAGTAGCTTGCAGAAAGAATACATTCCTTTGTTGCCTGTAATAAAGAAAAAGTTTAAACGATAATTAGACAGTCGGAAATAAAATGTCTGGGGATAACTACTAAGAAAAGACATCTCAGATATAGGAAGATATGTGTGTTTTTAAAGTTTTCTTTGAATGACTTTAGTCAAAAGCAAAAGCTACAAATACCTACAGCCAAATATTTCTAAATAAAAATTAAATCTCAAAGTAGGAGAAATTTTACCTTGCTTACTTTAGAATTTATATCTTTCTCCGTTTTTTTCAAATTTTCCTTTTTGTCTGTTTTTTGCAAAGCTGTTGACTCCTCGTCCACTTCATCTTCTCCTTCCCCTCTTTTTTTATCAGCTTTCTGATCTCTGATCTCAGCCACTTTGGCTGTGGGTCTAGATATCCTTGGAGACCTTCTTAAAGTACGACCCACATTTGTTTTCTCTTCTTCTTTTTCAGACTTCTCTTGCTTGGTTTCTGGTTCTAGAATTTGGGGAGGAGATTCTGGCTTCTTCTTCCGACTGGATATCCTAATTGTTAATTTGATGCCCTCCTTTTGCCTTTCAGAGGTTATCTCTGTGTTCTCTGGGGCAGTGGTTTCTTCCTCAGGAATCAACTTATATTTAAATTTGTTTTTTTGCATAGAACCTTTTGTGTCAGAAGGGTCCTCTGCACCAGAGGCCTGGGCATTGTCTAGGTTGTCGATTTCTACTACCTTCATGGATTCAGAATCCGCTTTCAGAACTTCTGAGTCTTTTTGCAGGGATTGACCCTCAGCAGAACTTGTGCTCTGACACTCCACCATATCTTTTTCTGAGGCTGGTTTCTCACAATGCCCAGCCATGTCAGTCAGCGAGGAAGTTTCAACCGCCCCAGGAGAGCCCAGCGTTACTGGTTCCAGAGGACTCTTAGGAGCCTCCTCTGGTATTGGACTCAATCTTTGTGGGTCCTTGTCAAGAAAGGTCTTTTTGGACTTCACTAACTTTTCAAGACATTCTATGACTGGTGGGCGCTTATCCTTATTTTTGGGAGACTTCTCTTCAACTTTCATGGTATGGGATTCAGCAGTAGATAAAGCAGTTTTTAAAGAGAGATCAGTTGCCATCTCAGAAGCCTCGAGAGAGGTTTCCATTTCTGGAGGACCAGTTTCCTCTGTCTGTTCTTTTGGACTCTGGGTCTCTACAACTGATACTGAACTTTCTGCATCTTTCCCTATACTTATTATGACAGAATTTAAGGACTCTGCTCCATTTCCCTCCACGATGACACTGTTATCCTTAGAGGGGCTACAGCCATCTTCCTTTGTATCATAAAACTTTGTCTCCATTTGTTCTGTCTTAAAATTTGGAGTTACGTTTTCATCACAAACTTCTCCATTTACCAGCTGTTTCCCTTCATGACTCAAAGCAGTGATTGTAGAGATCCTTTTATAAGTCTCCTCCTCTTGTTTTATTTCATCCTTCAAAAATTCTTTTGTTGGAGTAACTGATTTACACAAAGGTCCTTTGATTGGACTGTCAAAATCATCACTCAGTTTAATTTCTCTTTTTTTTAGTGGTATCTTGGCCTGCTGGTCATTTTTAAGTTTCTCGGTTTCTTCAGTAGACTTCTCAGTAATTTCTTGAGTAGATTTAACATTGCCACCAAACTCCAGCCTCTCGGGCTCCAGCTTCTCCACACCTCCTTTGATATCTTTAGGGTCTGCTTTACATTCCTTCACTTCAACTTTAATGGGTTTGACATTTTCCTTGAAGGCATCACTTTCTTCTTTGAAAATCTTTTTCCCCTCACTTTCCAGCAAAGGTTTTTCTAACTTTACTATAACTGGCATTTTCACAAGTTCCTTTTCATCTTCTTTTTCTATTTTCACAGTCGTTTCTGCCAGAGCATTGGGTATAGAACAGTTTTCTGAATCTACTGGCTGCTCTTCACTTTTCCTCTTTTCATTTTCTTTCTGTTCCTCTAAAAATCAGAAAAAATTTACATGAATCTAAGCAATCAATACATATAAAATATAAAAAGCTTAACATATATTTCCATTTGAAGTTTCTCTCATAAAAGAGGTAACTTTTGTCACTGGACATTTAACAATAAAAAATAAAATGTGACTAAAAATTACTCTAAAGTATAACCTCTAGATATTAAAAAGCTATTATTTAGAATGACTCAGATTTCTGCTTTATATTTTAGCTTTAGTGTTCTCAATGGAATGCAAATATTTACACAGCTCAAATAACTTAAATAAGCTCAAAATATGGCTCAAAGATATGAAACTAAAAATATTATATGAAACATTTCCAAAAAACTGTATTTGTTTTAAGAACTGACGATTGTTCTTTGTAAGTCATTGAGCACTTCCTTTCATTGAGGCACCATGAGAATGGCAGTGGGAAAATTTGTTTTATGTTTTATTCAGATTATAAAATTAACATAATTCTGTACAGAAAATGAAAAACAGAGGGAAAAAATGCCCATAATCCTAATACCCACAGACAATCATTATTAATATTTAAGTTACTTCCTTCTAGTGTTGTATATTTTTGACAAAGTTATGATCATGTTGCCATTTTTTTTCATTGAAACATTAGTACTTTCTTATATTAAATGCTTTATCCAAAAATTACACTTAATCATATAACACTCCCTAATGTGGTTTTATTATAATTTACTTTATTAAATGCTATTAACATTCAGGAGTTAATATTTTACAAATAAACTATTAGGTTTATGTGTCAATTCTTTTTGTTGTTGTTGTTAATCCTCACCCAAGGATATTTTTTCCATTGCTTTTCAGAGAGTGGAAGAGGGGGAGAGAGGGGAGAAAGAGACAAACATGTATGTGAGAGAGACACATCAATTGGTTGCCTCCCACACGCACCCCGACGGGGGCGGGGTGTAGCAAACCCACAACCCAGGTATGTGCCTTTTACCGGGAATCAAACCTGCGTCCCTTTAGTATGCAGTTCAATCCTGTAACCACTAAGCAATACTGGCCAGGGTTGTCTGTCAGCTATCTGTCAAGTCTTTTTACTTTATTGATTACATATGTCCAATGTTTACAGAGTTCATAATAGCGCAAATTTAAACAAAAGCCATATTTAATAGGTGGCATAATCTATGTATGAGATTATAAGATTGCATATATGCTTGTGCTCCAACAATCTGAGGAGTGTTTTCTAGAATTCTAAATTTACTTAAATTTGCGTAGAACCTCACCCTATTCTGCCAACTGAAAAACCTCAATTCTAAATGAAGTTTACCAAGATAGTAAGAGTTACAAAAAATTTGAACGGATTCTTGCAAGTTGATAAACCACAGTTATAATGTATTTCATGGCAATAAAATGGAATGGATAGAAGTGAGATGAAGTAGGAAATATTTTATACAGTGGAGCCTTGACTTACGAGTGTCCCGACTAACGAGTTTTTCGAGATACGAGCTGTCTCTCGGCCGATTTTTTGCTTTGAGTTGCAAGCAAAAATTCGGGTTACGAACCAGCTTCAGATACCCCACCGCTAGTTGGCGCAGCGAACATCACAGTGAACGCCACATCAGCCCAGCATTCAATTCACTGTAATGGTGAGAATTGATTTGACATACGAGTAATTTGAGTTACGAGCTCGGTCACGGAATGAATTAAACTCATAAGTCAAGGCCCCATTGTATAAGAATTCACTATTTTTTTTAAAAGTGAAATTTTCTTGTAAACTATTTCTTTTATGCTCAATCATGCTACAAATAAAAATTAAAAAACCACTAGGAACCATTTAGGCCCTGAGATATAATATAAGTATTGTTCCTCCCTCTTTACTGCGGCGATTCTTCTTGGCATTGACTCCACGAGATGTTGAAAGGTGATGCGAGGAATCTGACACCATGCCCGATGAATAGCACTGTCCAGTTCTGTGAGATCTGATGGTTGTGGAACCAGCTGCCTGATGGCTCTTCTAACTTCTTCCCACAAATGCTCAATTGGATTGAGATCTGGTGATTGTGGGGGCCACCTAAGCAAGGTAAAGTCTCTCTCATGTTCTTGGACAGTGAACTGTCCACCCGTTTAAAAAGTTTGAGGACGCCTGCCCCAAACCATAACACTGCCCCCACCAGCTTGAAGGGTTTTACTCATGCATGCAGGGTGCATGCTTTCATGCTGTTTCCGCCAAATTCTCACTCTGCCATCTGCATGATGCAACTGGAAACATGATTCATCGAACCACATGACTTTTTTCCAATACTTGGCTGTCCAATCCTTGTGTTCCTGTTCGAATTGGAGATGTTTTATCTTGGTAACTGCAGATAGCAAAGGTGTTCAAACAGTCCTTCAGCTTCCATATCCCATCCGATGCAGTGTACAGCTAATTTGCCTACAAACGCCAGGTGGTCTTAATAATCTGGCCTGTATGTGTGTGTATCCCACGTTCAAAGGCTGTTAAATTGTGTTGTTTACCCATATCTTCAGAAAAAATCACTTCTACTGTCGTGGTAAACAACCTGCTTCCCTATTTATAATGGTCTGGCCCTCTAGCAACTTCAGCGTGAAATTATAGCTAATTTGCCTACAAACGTCATGTGGTCACAATAATCTGGCCACTCAGTGTATTTGGATATTGGATCTTTAGAAGATAATTATAGTTAAATGAGGTCATAAGGATGGAGCCTTAATCCAATAGTACTGATACACTTATAGGAAGAAGAAGAAACACCAGATCACTCTCTTTCCACACACACAAATAGAAGCCATCGGAGGACACAGAAAGAAGGTGGCCATCTGCAAGCCAGGGAGAAAGCCCTCACCAGAAACTGAGGCACCTTGACCTGGAACTTCTAGTCTCTAGAACGGTTGAAAAATAAATTTGTTCTTTAAGCTCCCAAACTAAGTCTATTATTATGACAGGCAGAGCAGAGTAATACTACATTACTACATTAAAGTACATTATTGGTGATATAAAGCTGAATTTAAGCTTTATATCAGATATGCTAATATATTGGCCACAAGAGGTTCATCTGTAGGTTACTTTACTTATTATAATTGAAGGAATATTCTTCACTTCTGCAAAAATTAGCCCCCCCTCCCAGTTTTCTTGGTCTACTTCTATGGTGTGTGTGTGTGTGTATGTGTGTGATATGTCTTTATTGAACAGTGACCTCCTGATACATAGGTCAATGCTCAACCACTGAGCCACGCTGGCCGGGCTACTTTTGTTTTTTTAATATTTGATAGAGACATGAATATTATAAGTATTTCCCACTTTATACTATGAAAACAACAAAATGTAAGTATGAAGTCAAGCAATTGAGAACTAAGGCCAATTTTAGGGAACACAAGAGAGGACTACAGTAAACAGGAGAGTGTGAGTCAGCCAAGGAGGGTAAACTATTATTTGGGTACAGCCCATTGTTGGCACGTAGAAATGATGGTCCATAGTTACTAACTCTTCTAATTTTTAATTTTAAATGTTGATAGGAAATTCAAATTTTAAAAATACACATGTGAAAACTTATGTTCCCACAAAAATCTGTATGTGAATGTTCACAGAGGCATTAATCCTAATAGCCAAAAAGTGAAAACAAATAAAATGTTTATCAATTAATGAATGGATAAACAAAATAATGGAATATTATTCAGCCATAAAAAGCATGGCTAAACCTTGAAGACATTATGTCAAGTAAAAGGAGTCAGACACAAAAGGCCACATATTATATAATTCCATTTACATGAAACATTGAAAATAGGCACATTTACAAAGAAAGAAAGTAGATAAGGGGCTTCCTTGGGTTAGGCACAGGGAAATACAGAAAGTGACTGCTTGATTCTTGCAGGGTTTCTTTGTGAAGCGATGAAGATGGTTTGGAATTAGACAGTGGTTATGGTTGCACAATAGTGTGAATATACTAAAAACCCCTGAATGAAAATGGAGAATTTTACTTTAGTTTTTGTTTTATTTTAAACAAAGCAGTACTGTACAGACCAATATAAACAAGTTTTCAGGCCAAATTAAGTTTTTAAGCTGCCAGTATACAACTGCTATTCTTGACTAGAGATTCTTAAATGATACTCTTTTCTCATTCCACATATAGAAATATATATGCCTATAATAATTAACAAAAGAAAGTCTTTTTCTAATTAGCAGAAAAACACTAAATTAAAGGTTAGGATTTTCCCCAACTTCGTTTTCCCCCATAGAAGTTCTCCTTAAGTTAAAAATCCCTTCTAAATTAGAATACACTATCTAATGTGGAGTGAAAACACCTTAAATTTCATGGTGTTCTATAAACACAGTTACTTCCATGTAGTGTACCACTTGAAATGATATGCTGGGTATTAGACAGAAAAAGGACTTAAATGACACCTAACACTCCTTTTGAACTATTCCGTAGCCTGAGAATAACAATTAGACAAGTATTTGAGAGCCTCAAGGTTGGTAGTATGACTGACCTTAATATAAGTGGGATAAAAAAAAGTCCTTAAGTGCTGATGGAGCTTAGAAACGGGATCAAGAAGGTAGGATTCCAGATGGCCCTGAAATATGACTAAAATTTCCACAGTGGAGGAACTGTACCTCAGAGGTAAAAGAGCATGATAAAAACACAGAAGGAATGTCCAAGACAAATAAAGGAAATAAAGGCATCTAGATAATCTGGAACCAGTGATCACATAAGGAAATAGAAGGTAATACCAGACAGATAGGTTGAGGCCAGTGTGTGCGATTCTGATGCCACTTTAAGAAATTCACACTTTTTTAGAAGGCAATTCCAATTACCTTTAAAACAAAAAGTCCATTATTCAGTTAGTGAACTTTTTAGGCCATATGATGACATTTTGGGAGGTATTACATTTTAAAAAATATATGCTTATTGATGTCAGAGAGGAAGAGAGAGGGATAGAGAGATAGAAACATCAGTGATGAGAAATAATAATTAATTAGCTGCCTCCTGTACGCCTCCCACTGGGGACTGAGCTTGCAACCCAGGCAGGTGCCCTGGCCAGGAATTGAACCGTGACCTTCTAGTTTACAGGTCTACATTCAACCACTGAACCACACTTGCCAGGCAAGGAGGTACCTTACTTACTTACTTACTTACTTATTTATTTATTTATTTATTTATTATATTTTGGTTAATCCTCACACGAGAATTTTTTTCCCCATTGATTTTTAGAGAGAGTGGGAGGGGGAGAGACAGAGAGAAACATGATGAGAGAGACATCAATTGGTTGCCTCTCATACACGCCCGCAATCGAGCTACATGCCCTTGACTGGAATCAAAACTGAGAACCTTGGACTGAGCTGCTCCAGCTCCCACTCCCGGGCATTTAAAGGGAATGCCCGGTGGCCCGGACAGGGGGCTGCCCGGGATGGAAGGTAGGAGGAGAAGACAGCCCAGACGCACATCATCTACGGCCCCTCGGTACCGGAGGCACTTCTGAGCTGTAGCCCAAATTCCGAGGGTGGATAAGACACCAACCCCTCCAATTCCGGCCAGCACCCCAGGCTCCATCCTGCGCTCGAATGCCTCCGAGAGCCCCTCTCTCCACTCTGCACTTCAAACTCAGCCCCGGCAGACTTGGGCCACTGCCGCTGCCACCGCCACTCCACACCCTGCTGGAGAAGCTCAGAGATCCTGTGCCCCTTCAGCCCTTTCACACACACAGTTCAAGGTGCTCTGCGACTACCTGCGCCAGCGGGCCCAAGATGGCGTGCACTTCGATCGCCTTTTCTACGTGGACGACACGCCAATGACTTCTGCCCCATGGGATGGATGGCCAGCGGTGACGTGGTGGCCTTCCCGCGCCATGGCGATCCCATGCACAGCCAGCCTGATCCAGGAGGCGCAGAAGGCCAAGCCCAGCTAGTTCCGCCCCGTGGTGTTGTGGGAAACAGCCCACGACATGCGCTTCCAGACCGCTGCCTGCAGGGGGCGCCCCGACAAGGAGTGGGGAAGGGAGATTGGGAAAGACAATCTAGTTTTATAACTTCCTTTCCCTTTCGCGTTGGTATGTCCCTCTGGGAATTTCTAGAATTCTCCGTCCAATCAGGGGCTAAAGGAGGGAGTCCAGAGCCATCCGAACTATCTATGCAGTTAAAACAGCTCAGCTGCCTCCCTCAGATCCACAGCAAGCAGTTAAAAATTCTGGAGT